TTCACACACACAACACTGAGCAGGACCCCCCTTGGGGGTGATAGCTGCCTGGTCTTGCATGCGAGCGCTCAATGCGGACAGCTCGCTACAACTGGTCGCATGTTCTTCCCTTGGGCAATCTCACTCCTTGGCAAAATGATTCTCTGGGGTGGGCAGGGTTAACAGTTCATGGTTGCTGGATGCAGGCAGAAAACTCTATTCTCCTTTTCCTGACCTGAGTCCCAGTAGCAAGCCAGAAACCAGTGCAATTTTAGGATGGAAAATGTGGTTATCAGAATGTGCGACATTTTTGTTCTTCCAGATGCAGCAGTGGAGAGGGGCCCACCAAGTGGGTTGAGGCAAGGCAGGGGATTTGCAGATCTTGGGTATGTGTGCCTGTGCATGTGTGTGGCTAAAATCAGCTCAGAGGGTAGTTAAGTCAGCCCTCCCTTTTTGCGGATGCTCATGGAAACAGGCTTCGGTCATTTTTTAAACCTTTAAATTGCTTCTCTTTCTCCTCTCTGAATTTCCTGCTTTTCACTCATCCAAACCCTCAGGAGGAGAAAGACTCCATCAACAGTCTGCCTGTAACAGCCAGAAGCACAAGCTGCTGGATACAGCCAGACAAACCTACCTTCATGAGACCCGAAAGCAAAATTTGCTGAATAAAATCACAGGGGTTGCTCATGGGTGGTCTCCCTCAGAACATCTTCTGGACTTTCCTGTTCTTTGTGGTTCAGTCACACACACACACACATGCACACTGGGTCACACTCTTAGCTGGTGTAAACAAGCAGAACTTCAACCAAAGGCACTGAGTTTGCCTAGAGATTCTCAGACGAGGACGTGTTATTGCGTTGCCTCCGAACAGAAGAGCACAAGGAAATTCCTCCTTCCTATCAGAGGGAGAGACCAGGGAGATTTTGTCACTGTGCAGAGTTTCCCTGGCTGGCGATTTTTGCAAGGTGTGCCAAAAGGCCATTTTCTGACACACCTCATGTCTTTGGCAGCGACAAAGAGCTACCATCCTTGTTGGCCAACAGTGCACTGTGCTGGAAATTGCCCAAAAGTGGGAAATTAGGAACAGTGACCAAACTTCCTATTGCAGTACGCGCTTCCCCAGCAGAAGGACTCTGGCTGAGCCAGCCTGGACTCTCTCTTCAGCCCCTGTCATAGCATCACTGTTCCCTTGCTGCAGTCCAGGAGTCAGCTCCTCATGGTGATTTTTGTTCTTATCTCTTTTTTTCCTTCTTGCCGAGTTTCTAGTACCTGAAGTGTTCTGACCTCACCTGGCTGTTACTCAAGTGGAATAAGAAAGGGGTACTGGGCAAGTTTGCAGAAGTCCTTTAGGATGCAGGTGGGGCCCATGGGACAATCTACTCTCTATCTTGATCCTTTAGATACAGCTGCTGGATCACATCAACCAGCACTTCTGAGATGCATCCAGTCACCGCAAGCAGCTGGTCTTCTGAGGGCAAATTAAGGACTAACTTCCCCCAAACTCTGAAGGAGGTCAGGAAGAGCAGTTGGGATCTTCACTCTGTGTCCCACGTCATCTTTAAAGAATGTCTCAGGTTAGGACCTGATCCAAAGCCCAGTGAAATCAAGGGAAAAACCTCCTCCCCTCAACATCTCTGGGTTGTGGATTCAGACCTGGTAGGGGGGGATGGGGTGGCTGAGCGGCAGTCCTCTGTCAGGCACTGAAGCACGTCTCCATGAGCTGCAGACACACACAAGCAGGTCTTTAAAAGCCAGTATTTATTTGTGTTGTTCTTTTTTTTTGTTTTGTCTTGTGTCGTTAGAATAATTCAACGTTGATCAGAACCATGTACCACCAAATGGCAGCTATTGGCATGTCAGGTTTTCAAAGAATGATCTTTTTTCATGCTCTCTTATTGTTGCTGTTGTTATTCACATAACAATACTCACAACAGCATGACAGAGAAGTTAAGTCATCTTGCAAGTCAACTCTAGTGAAAGTTTGGCATGGAGAGTTAACCAGCTCTGCAGAAATCTGGGTCAGCCCAGCTACGCTCACTGCTCGCCTTCTCCTCGCAGATGCTGCTATGGCTTCTGGAGGCAATAAAGGGGGCAGAAGTTATTAACGGTTGGCTGTCAGAGTGTGCACAGCTGCGTTATTTAGCATCCCATGTGGCTGACCCGCCGCCGAGAGAGAAGAACACTGAATATGCTGGCTCTGGCTTTCCACCCTTCCAGAAGTGCGTTGTGCTTAAATCCTGCCAAGTAGAAGCAATGACTCTCCTGATTTTCTCACTCAAAGAAATTTCTTAGTGTATCACTTCACTGCTGGAACAAAGCAAAAAAAAAAAAAAAAAAAAAAAAGACGACACCAAAAGCCCCCACCAGTGACTCACTATTTGCTTGTGTTTGTTACTGAGAACCCAAGATTAATAACATGTTTGACAATCACTTAGCAAAGGTCAAGGAATTAGCAAAAGCCATAAAATTATTTACAAACAAATACAACACCCCCCATAAAACGCAGCCCTCACTGACATGCATTCATCACTGGGTTATTTAGAATAAATGCCCAAAACCCATTGTTAAACATAGATAAAAATTACATGCACAAGGGGAAGAAATCTTTTCTTAATCCTTTCAATCGTAAAACATACGTAATAGGTTTGGGTGGTTTTTTTTTTCTGGGTGTTCATGTGCATGAGCAATATTTATGCAAAAATTGGGAAAATGTTCATACCAAAACAGGGGAGTAACTCTGCCATTAAGGCCCAGCAGATGTATGTTTCTCAAAGTCTGTTCCTATCCCTCCCGGGCTGACCACAAGCTCTCGGTTGAGTGTATAGGCCACAATCTGTTAGCCAGAGAGCCAAGGAAATCCTCCGCTGATTTTGGTAAGGGAGGGATCAGACCTGTGATGTCTAGAAACAGAGAAGGAATCGCAATTTGCGGTTGCGATTTCCCCTGGGAGGGCAAGCAGAGTGGTCCGGCCAGCACTTAGCCAAAGCCTCTAGCTTCAGAGTGGGGCCACCTTTGCTTTCTCCACCATCCAGAGATGTGGGCATTTCTCTAGGACCATTTATCCCCATCCAAATATCTGAGTCCACCTGGGGTGACAGTTCCTCTCCTGTCTGATTTACTAGTGCAGACATAGCCCCAAAGGCCACAAAAAAAAAACCCCAGAGAAGTGGTGAGGATGCATTTGTCTGTGATTCTTCTAGCAACCACTGCAAACCCTGCAGGCAGGAAAGGGTTTGTGCCCATCCTGCTTCAGGTCCAACATGGGATGGTGGAGCAGAGAGAGCAGATTGCTTTGGAGTCGGTGTGCAGCACAGAGGCAAAGACACTTTCTCAAGTTGACTTCTAAGCAGAAGGTTAAGGTCCAAAAGAGCTGGTTGCTTAATTTTTTCTAGTGTTCCCTCCCCCATGGTGTCAGCTTTGTGCCTCTCTTCTTCCTGTGAAGCAGCTGCCAAGACTCAGGAGTCCTATAGGTCCTCTCATGTGTCTAAGCCTGCTGGGCTGGCAGAGGCCGAGCTGTGCACTGCAATATCTCAGCTGACTGGCTTACATGGGAAGGAATCTCCTTGCCCACCTTTTGGATGGGTGTCCTCTTCATTGCCACAGAGATGCTGGGCTTGCACAGGGAATCTCACCCCTGGCAGGTTCATCGCCTGGTACCAGCCCAGCACCTCTTCTAGTCCCATCCACAGCAGCGCGGTCTACTTTTCCTCCCAAGTCCTTCCTACTTGAACTACCTCTTTTCTGGATGGACACAGAGCTGTTAAGTGTTCATCAGGCTTGTGTTTCTTAAGGATGACTTTTGGCAGCAGCCTTGTCGTTTCTGCTTTGCCTGGATATGTGCAGACGAGTGTTTTTACACCTTCTACACACGGCTTGGTCTTGGTTCAGATGAGATCACGTCTTGTCCCATTCCTCACCATTCCTCAGCTCTTCTTGTCTGATACATATTAGAGCCAAATCAGTTCACAAGGATGTCCCAAAACTGAACTCTTCAGCCGGGGATTGGATTCATTTATCTGTTTATGGACAATTGGCTCAAAATCATAGAACACCCACAGTGCTGGTAAGAATTTTCTATTTTTTAAACCGTGACAATACATTACAAGGGAAGGTCTCAAATTTTTATTCCTATTTATTGTTTTGACAAACTTGATGGCTGGCTAAAAAGTTTTTAAATTTCAGGTTCTGATGTTTCAAAAAGTTAAGAAATGTCATTTATAGGTTGGGTTCTCTTGCTTTTTCACGGGCTGATTTTTCTGCACACCTTCCACCTAGAAAGCTTCAAGCAGAATTACTGAGGATGAGGAGAGTGATCAGTATATCCCTTAACTCATCTGAGTCTCTCACTATGGTCAATGACTCTTTCACCTGAGATAGGACTGCATGAAATGTGAGAAAGCACTTTAAGAGTTGACCTTTCAAGGGAGAGGTTGTATGAACCTGTGAAGTCTTTTAATGTGTAACATTGCTGCTTCTTATTGGTGTGTGTGGTTTCTTTCCCTCCTGTTGGTGCCCATGAGTTTGCTGAAAACCAATCTGTGCCTTGGAAAGTTATGCGGCGGTGTCATGATTCACATCCTCTCTTTCTGGCCCTATCTGTATTTTATGGCATTTTAGCTGTAACAGGAAGCAAAAGGAAAAAAAAATTAAAATCGGGGGCAGTATTTTCCAAACTTGAGGGGCTAACGGC